CTTAGCAAAGCTGTTCTCAGCCCATGGATTGTGGAGCGAATCTCATTCCTGCCAGCATTCATCCTCCATGCAATCCTGTTTTTTGCTGTTCAATTGACTTTTGTATTTGTCAATATGGTTAACGTGAGACTGGCTGGGATATGTGTACTTGGATTTGCCAATGGTTTGGGAACGATTACTGCGGCGAAGCTGTTGGGTTTTYACAGTGACTCCGCTGGTGTCTACTCGAGTGGTCTTAATCTTAACACAGCTGTAGCATCGATCACGTATACAGGTACGAGTGCTTAGTCTCTTTTAACCAATAAATTTTATATGGAATTCGTAAAATTGAAATATAAAGGTCGGTCGCCATCATGATATTGCATTTAATTTAATTCTTCAGTATTGTAACGACGACACTGAATCACATTGAAGTCATTGACTGACCCGAGTYATTGTCACATTAAGTAAAAATTTTCGATTTTGTGTTTGTTGCTCGGACAGTTTCAATTCCACTGGGAAAACTGCTAATTGTTTATGATTTTATTCTCAGGTTTGACAACGTGGTTATGCGTATCACCTCGCAATGCTATTGCCATTTTGAGTCCACTTTCTCTGTTTCCACTCTTGATGTATGCGTTTCTTGATAAAGAACCATTAAAAACCTACAAGAACTGTACAAAGGACATCGCGTATCAAACTTTGGACGACAAAGAGAATAATGAMMWAAAATCAGCCACTSAGTCCGGAAAAACAAAGTCTAAAGAATCTACCATTCGATGTCAAACCAAGTTCCTATTCAATGTGTTTCTTGTCTGTTACTACCTAGGCACCAATTTTTTTTTAGTGATGTTATCCCTCGTTACCATTCTTTCTACTGTGACATTTAAATCCTCTCCATTCCCCCCTCGGGATCACTATCAGTATTACCGATTCCTAAGTGATCTTGGTATAATGGTCGGAGGGATGGAATTACCTCTCGCATCCTTCTTTTGCCCTCGTTTCCTGGACACCATTAAGATTCGTCGTATTTGGATCTTGATTCTGTTGATTGTTGGTCACACGCTGGTGTTTCTGTCAGTTTCATGGTTTCACTTCACAGACAACGTGTACATTATCTTGCTATTGTGTTTTACTCAGGGCGCGATTAGTGGCTGGTCTAGCGTCAACACTTATTGCTTACCTGTCGACCTCTTCGCAGRTTCCGGGAAACTTGGAACAATTCTGGGATACCTGGAAGTCAGTKTATCCTTTGGCAGGTTATCAKCAGGGCTGTTGGGCATGTACGTAGAGAAATATCTGAGAGATYACTGCGAACATGGATTGTTGTTGGGTCGATTCTGTTTAGCGAGACTTTCTTCGCACGGAATGTGGAGTACGTCCAACTGTGTGAGATAAAGAAGCTTTTTTATGTATTTTTTGCTTAATACGCCTTATCAAAAATATTGATGAGTTTGAACTAAAGTGAAACATAAAGGAAATAGTGCAGTACACCATTGGACAGTGCATGCAGGACTCCTAGCTTTTAATCAGAAATTCGTCGGACATTCTTGAGTGAACGATCACTGACCTGAACTAGGTTGGTGAGCCGGTACTCGAATCACCGCTAAAGATACTGAGAAAGTCTTTATCTGATTACAAGAGTGACTCTGTGCTTTTAATGCTTTTAACTCAGAAAATAAAATTCAAAAACCTTTTTTTTCTTCAAAACAATGATTAGCATTATATTTGCCTTTTGTTAAAAATGATTTTCTAAAATGGTTCATGTGCATTTTAAGCTTCTGTGAAGACACGAATTTTGTCCCGAATGACAACACTTTTATTCCGAAAAACAAACTTACATTTTTACCATGCGGTAATCACGTGACTATCCCACAGGCAGCCCAGTGGGTTACAAATTTTTGACCTAACATTTCCCCCTCCTGGATTTGACATGCATCCAAATCCAAAGATGGGATTACAATCATAGTAAGCTAATAAAATCTCAACAAAATATCTGCTCACAAAATTTCTACGAATGTCAATGTTGTTTCATACATAGTTCTTAGTGTTCCATATGTAGTCAATGTCTATACATCTAATTCCAAGGGTGACAACTTGTGGATCGGGCGCCGCATCACCCGTCCTCCAATTCGTACATCTACTACTCTGACTAAACCGTCTTGTCCTGGGTACACTTCTACTATTCGGCCGATCTTCCAGGTTCGTCGTGGTGTCTTGGGGTCGATCTCTAATACAGTGTCTCCAACACTCAGATTCTTTGCTGGCTGGAACCACTTGTGTCTTGATCCTATTAAAGGTAGATATTCTTTCATCCATCGATGCCACACTTTACGAATAAGTTCTTGTACCCGTCTCCATCGTTGTTTTACCTTGCCAGGTGTGTCGTCGACACTTTCAGGAGCTAACTCTCCACCCATCTGTCCGATTAGAAAATGGTTGGGAGTCAAGACCACCTCATCATTATGATCTCCACTAACGGTGGTAGGTGGTTAATGGCCTAGAGTTTAACAAACTCTCGGCACCGATGATGACTGTCTCAAGCTCTTCATCATTTACATCAGCTCCAGACAGCTCTGCATAGATAGCTCGTTTAGCAGTTTTAATCATGATTTCAAAGACACCTCCAAAATGAGGTCCACCTGGTGGATTTAACAACCACTTAACTCCTCTGTTACTGGTCATTCGCTGTACTTTCTCTTGGTCGATTTTTTCCACTAGCTCTTTGATTTCTCTTTGTGCTCCAACATAGTTTGTTCCATTGTCACTTAGCATAAGCTTGGGCCATCCTCTTCTAGCTACAAACCGTGTAAAAGCATTCATGAATCCATCTGTCTCTAGAGATGTTGCCATCTCCAAATGACAGCAGCGTGTCTGAAGACACACAAATAAGCAAAGATAACGTTTCAATCGGGCTTTGCCGCGCCCTTGCAAGGTGTAGAATGGTCCAGCAAAATCAGTTCCGCAGTTGGTAAATGGCTTCTCCGTAAATGTACTTCTCTCGTAGGTGGTTTAGCGTGTAATTTACTCCCATCACGTGTCCCTCTGTTTCATGATGATACTTGATGATCAACTTAGTTACTGCATGTCCTTTGGGGAGCAATATGGGATACTTAACATCATCTTGTAAATCCTCTGAATACCGTAATATTGCATTAGCACGAAGGACGCCGTCCACTAAAATTGGTGTGAGAGTCAGGATACTGCTTTTCTTTGGGAGAGGTTTGAGATTGGTTAATGTCTCTATTTCATCATAAAGGCATTCTCTTTGAGCTGACTTAATGAGTTGTAGCTCTGATTCTTGCAGCTCTTCTACTGTTAGTTCGTTACTTCTGTTTCTATCTTCCGGTTTCGTCCGAACATTGTTGATAAACCGTTTCATCCATCCTACCACTCGTACTAAGGAGACGCCAATCTCTAACTTCCTCTTGGGGTGTGTCTTGTACCACTTTGAGTACTTGTTTACATCTGGTCTTGATTCTTGACGTTCTGCTGCGAGATAAGTAAGATGTTCTTGTTGATCTGTTTCATTGCAATTAGCTGAAAACTTTACTCGTTTATCCGATTTCACTTCCCTTTGAGCATCGGGGGCACTTCCAAACTTCCTGGTAGGCCATTCACCTTGATTTTTTTGTAAAAATGAGGGACCGTTCCACCAGTTCTCATCAGTAGACAGTTCATCTGCAGACAATCCTCTCGTAGCTTTGTCTGCTGAGTTCATTTTGGTGGGAACATACCTCCATTGGTCGGGGTTAGACTCTTCATGAATCTCACCTACTCTGTGAGCCACAAATGGTTTGTAGTTACGACTCTGTCCTTGCATCCAGAATCCAACATTGTCACTGTCGACCCAATAAGTGACTTTGTCTAAGGAGAGTTCTAGTGCTGAGCATACTTTCTTTGTTAGTCGCTGTCCTGCTAGCGCTCCCATGAGTTCTAATCGTGGGATGCTTACTGCTTTTACTGGTGCTAGTCTACTCTTCGCTGCCACTAATTGGACACTGACAGTTTCATCATCATATTCATGTCGTGCGTAGATTGCYGCAGCRTAGGCTTTGTCAGATGCATCACTGAAAGTATGAACAGTAATGTCCTTTACTTCTTTGTCGTTTCTCAARCATCGTTGTATTGTGATCTTGTCTAACATCTCCAGTTCATCGAACCATTGTCTCCACTTTCTCTGTAGATGATTTGGTAGTTCTTCGTCCCAGCCCAGAGATGACATCCATGCTTCTTGCATCAGTAGTTTAGCACGTATAACATAAGGTGCTAGAAATCCAAATGGGTCGAAAAYAGTTRCAACTTTCTTTAAGACGTTGCGCTTTGTGAAAWTAAACTCTGTCGAMRGTGCTGTGTAATGAAATGTCATTTTATCATCTTGAACTGTCCACAAAACTCCAAGAGTCTTGGTAGATTGAAATTCATCTCTTTCTAAATTAACTTCCTTAGCTCTATCAGCTACCGGGATGTCTTCAATCACTTCTGATTTCTGTGAGATCCACTTGCGAATGTGGAATCCTGCTTTGTCACCAAGTTCTGTGAGTTGGCGACGAACTTCTTTGGCTTCTTTGATTGACTTCACTGAACACATGACATCATCCATGTAACAGTTGTCTTTGACTGCTTTACTAGCTAGTGGGTACTCTTGTCCATGCATCTCAGCATGTCGTTGCCACACATATTGGGCACAAAATGGACCATAACATCCTCCAAAGATAAGTCTTGAGAATTCATAYACTTCTGGCTCTTGGTGTGGGTTAAGATCCCGCCACAGAAAACGATGTAGAGGGCGATCTTCAGGTAACAAAATTACTTGGAGATACATTTGGCTTATATYCCCAAYAAGWGCAATCAGTTCCTTGCGAAATCTGATCAGTATATCAAGAATGTCAGTYTGYAGTTTTGGTCCAGGAAGTGCTACTTTGTTTAAACTCATGCCGTTGAACTCTGCTGAAGCATCAAATACAATTCGGGTTTTTGTAGTCGTCTTCTCTGGTCTGGTTACTGGAAAGTGTGGTAAAAGCCACTCATTTYCTGGTTTTCGCTCGTCCATKGGTACTCTTCGTATGTATTCCTTCTCCAAGTATTCATTGATTACTTCTTTATATGCACCTGCTACTTCTGGACTAGTAGCCAACTTTCGTTCAGTTGCTTTCAATCGCTGTTCAGCTAGATGTCTGTTGTTTGGTAACTTTGGACGATCATCTTTCCATGGTATCGCCACTGCATAATGTCCATCTTGATATGCCAATGATTGTGATACTTTCTTCAGTGCTAATGATTCTTCCGGACTCATTGCTGGGCCAGATGGTGTGATTCCCATTGTATCCAGATCCCAAAACTGTTTAAGTCTTTCATTCAAATCAGCTGACATCTCACTATTCACACTCTGAATGTGATAGGTGTTGCACATCTTGGTATTGTAGTCCGATTGGATCTGTTGGGTTTCTATACATGGCCTATTGCGGTCCATCCTAGAGGGCAACGCCTTGCGTATGGCTAATCAACTCTTCCGATTATCTCCTGAATTGGGTATATGAGATGATAATTGTCAGCTCCTAACAAAATGTCAATTTTTCCTTTGTTTGTTACTGGAAAGAATGGTATGTCCTTCAAATGCTTGTAACTATTCTTCTTACTGACCCAGTT